CCCCCACCCCTAATTAACTATTTTAAGTGAAGTCAGGCGTGAAATGAATTCCCATTCCTTATAATCTGAAGCAAGGGTTCTCAAACCCAATTGATTGATGATCAGAATCACCCAGAGGTGGGGAAGAAGGATTTGTGAAACAGTCTCTCAGGCTTAATCCGGGTGTAAACCCAGAACGGGGGTTAGTCAGTGTGATGGTTAGATTGTGTGGTGGTTAGATTGTGTGGAGGTTAATCTGTGTGGTGGTTAATCTGTATGATGGTTAGATGATGTGGTGGCTAGTCTGTGGGCGCTTAGTGTATTTGGTGGTTAATCTGTGTGTTGGTTAGATTATGTGATGGTTAGACCCCATATTGATCTGGGTTTGGGAAAGTTTGTTGTCTTGGCTGCGCTGAGCAGATCCATCCTCCCACCCCCAGCTCATGCACAACAGATGTGCCATGTCCAGCCCTCTGCCTTCCTCTTTGTCTATTGGATCACTGTGATCTGCGGGTTAGGGTCTTTTTCATTGCAAGTGAGAATTCTACCACTGAACCACCAATGTCCTCACTGGAAACCTTTGTTGTTTTTCAGTGTTATCAAGTCAACTATGACTGACTCATAGTGACCCTGTGAACAATAGGTGTGAACACTGCCCTATCCTGCACCATCCTTCCATCTCTGATACACTATTTTTACAGTCCCCATGTCAATCTGTCTCATGTAAGGGCCTTTTTCTCTTTTGCTGACCCTCCACGTTTCCCAGCGTGATGTCTTTTCCCTAGTACTGGCCTCTCCTGACAGTATGCCCAAAATATGTGAGCTGACATGTCACCATTCTTACCTCTAAAGAGTACCTTGTTTATGCAAGATAGACTTGTTTGCTCTGGGGCCATCCATGGGAGATCTTTATGTCAGTATTAAATTATTTAGAAGTGTATTCTTTATTGCAGTGTCTGTGTGCGTGCGTGCACGCACACATAACCTTTTTTAAAAACTCATATCCCGGGGCTGCACCTCAGAGTGTTGAACTAGGGGGTGAGATGTTGGGGGACCATTCTAGAGTCAATCTACCCAGATGCACTGATGGGGCAGGTTCTGGTGCCTGATTAGAGAAAGGGCTCAGGACCAGACTTTATGCTATGTATTTAGTGCTACAGTGTAGCTAAATGTCCTCTTCCAGAATTGAAAACCTACATTTTATCTAATAAGAAACCAGAGGCCTTTATTCTTATTTAACCTCAACTTGGAAAAGAGTACCTGTCACTGACTTTCTCTTACCCCATCATTATTCAAGAGACAAGTGGTTCTCAGTTTCTGGGCACTCTTTTCCTGAGTCTTTGGGAAGAGACTATTTGGTTACTGCTTCTCTGAGTTTAGGTTGGGGGAGCAGAAGTTTACACCTCAAGATCCTGGGTAATTCTCCCTCACCTTGCTGTGTGAGGGTAATTGCCGCCTCACAGAGCTGCTTAGAATGAGACAATGTGAGAGAGACAGTGAGCTGTGAAAGTACATCAACTCTGTTTTTTAAAAAAACACATTTTCTTTTAGAACAGCTTTACGTTTACAAAAAAGAACTGTGTAGAAAGTGTAATACCAATACTGATGATGCTGTTATTGTGATGTGCCTTTGAACTGGAACCAACTCATAGCAGACCCTCCGGCAGCTTTTCAGGGGCATTAAATAGCATGGGAGGAGACTGCCTATCTTCTCTCACAGGGTCTGGGAGGGGTTGGAACTGCTTGTCTTTGAGTTGGCAACACTACTGTTTACCCACGAGACTGTGAGAGCTCCCACTAATATTGCTACATTATTCTTAATAAAAGGTCATACTTTATACTAGTGTTTATCTTTTGTGTTATTCAAAATTATGTGAGGTTTCTTGATGGTTTGTATCCACTATAACAGTATCATACAGAATGATTTCACTGCCCCAGATAACCCTATGCTTCATCTAGGCACCCTGCCTCCTCCCCATCCCAAATCCTTGGCAGTCTTTGTTGTTGTTTTGTGGCGTGGCTTTTTTGTTTTTTTTTA